TACATTGCTGAGGTATATGAAGTGAATTTAAATTCTGAGCTGTTGTTGACAGATATATTGATGGGAAGAATTTTAAACTTCATGCTGAAGGGGAGCTGTAGCCAGTAAAGTTTGTAAAGGCTAGGGGTAATGTGATGATGTTTCCACACTCTCAGAAGGATCCTAGCAGCACTCTTCTGAATATAGTGAAGTTTATAAAGACTCTTGGCAGGGATCCCAAAAATGAGTGCATTGCAGTAGTCCAGCCTTGGACTTCCGTCCTTTTAGAAAGGACTTTAAGGTTTATTTCAGTAAATATCCTTTTGTGTTCCATAAATATCTCCCTGAAGACAAGTGTATTAAAGGACAAAAAACTAGCATTTCATCCCACTTTCCCTAAACACCCACTGTCAACTTAGATGCAGATAAGCTTTTCTCTTCCATATCATTCTGCAGTGGGAACTATAATAGACATTTTTAACTGCAGATACTTTAACATGTCGTAACAGGAAAAGCACAGGTGGATTTAATAACATTAACAAGGGATGCATACAATTTAGTTTATCCTGTTTCAGGGCTTGTGCATGCTGGCCCACTCACTAGTCTTATTAGTTACACCTGTGCTTCTCCCGCTATGATGAGGCCAAATGTTTTACATGAAAAATGTCCATAATGCCTCAGACTCTAATCTAATTGGAGTTGCTATTCTTACTTTGGTGACCACTGGTGTAGATACTCTGGATAGTGGCCCTGTCTAGCCAGTGGGTAGGAGGAAGTGCTCTGAGCTGGCAATGAACTGAGTGAGATGTGTGTCAGTATAAGCAGCCCTGGGAACTGAGAACATGACAGGAAGATGAGTGAAAAGCACCATGCAACACAACGCAACATCCCCTCCGAGGAGAACGTTGTGATGGTGGCTCGTAATGTGTAATGTCTTGTTACCCTGCACACACACTCACACACCCAACCTACTATTCAGAATCCATAAAGAATTTCAATCTCCAACAAGAGTTACCTGAGAAACATCTAATTACTTGACTGAAGAATGATTGAAGGGTGTAGTAATGGACTGAATGGTGACGCTGTGAAACACCTTGTTACAAACTGTTTCCTGGATGCCATCAGTCACACTGCAGCAGGGAAATACTGCAGCAACAGGTATCTCACTATACAGTCAATGGACCCCAACCTCTCTGTGTGCTTTCACACACAAACTGAGAGAACCCAAAGGGAAAGGACGAGGACGGGGACGAGAGCAAAAGACAAGGGGATCATACTGCCCAAAAATGTTTGCAGAGTCGATATTGAACACCGTTGTTGAGGTTACTATTTATCTCATGCCAGCCAAGTTGGCACGCACATCTGGCGCTGGGTACTTAGTGCAATTATTTATGATTTCCTCCAAGATTTAAAAGCTCTTCGCCCGGCCTTGTAATGCAGTAACTGATTGCACTGCTAATGTAATTAAGGGGAGATTATGATGTCCACGTGGCACACCAGATGGTGGCATTCACAGCGATGGGGGAAGGCACAACTGGCACACCACTGCACAAGGGCAGTGAGGCGCAGTCAGTCGGAGCAGTCCAGACTCCCCACCAGACGGAGGAAAGTATATGTGTGTATGCATGCGTGTGTGTGTGTAGTGTGCATGCAGGACATGTGAGTGTATGGGTGTGTGTTTGATGATAAGTTGAGCGATAAAGTGTAAGCTGGTACGGGATGAGTGTATGTAAAATACTATCAAAGAAATTACTTAAGCTAGACTGACCACCTCTAAATGCATGACCTGGGCATATACTCTCAAAAATTCACCATATATGTCCAATTAAGACCCCTCAGCTTGATCTCCTCTCTTTTTGATGTGATGTTTCTATAACTACAAATGTAAAGAAATACAAAACAAATCTGACAGTTCCTGCATTTTCAACTTGTGCAATTCAGTGCTTTAGCCAAGAAAGCAGATGGCATAAATGGGAAATTAAATCAGATTTGGCAAAGCCATCATGTTTCAGGAAATTTTTCAGCCAAGGCAACAATGAGACTGCACCAACCTGACCTTTAATTAGAAAAAAGGCATGATATTATAGAGCCTTGCAAGGCTGTATCCTATGGGGGCACTAAGAGTAGGCTTCTTAAAGCTTGTTATTATAAGCTATTCAGGAGACACAGGGATTTTTTTATGTGTAGACAGAAAAGAGAGGAGGAAGGGGGGGAAGTAAGGGTCATATATGAAATGAGACCTGCAGATTTCTACACAGCCCATAATGGGTTCATGCGGGTGACGGGGACATTGGGGCACAGTAGATTTCCCAAGTTGAGATAGGGATATTATTACTCTCGGGGTGGCAACACAGAAATCTCCATCTTCAGTCCCCAGACTAGTGTCAGCAAATTACAAAACACAGTGAATGACCTTTACACATGAAAAGAAAACCTTTGCTGTTTTTTATCATTTGGGTGCAAAGTCGTTCACTGAGGTATAATTTTGGTCCAGGGGCTCTTCTGTCATCCGCTGATTACCGCTCACAACTACAACATTGTTAGGACTTACCAGAATGATATTTTCTACATGATAAGACCATCCAGTCTTTATGGGGTTGACTTTAACTAAGATGTGTCGTAAAGTATACACGAAACAAAGCGTGAACAAAGAAATCACAGTTTTAATGAACCTTTTCAAAATGCCAGCTGTAATGCTATGCGTCCTACACTGGCTGCTCCCCCACAGAAATCTGCCACAGCCATCATTCATCTTACCCCACAATCCTCAGCATGCGATGTGCCGCACATTAAAACACTGTAATAGCTGATGGCTTTCACAGTTAGCATGTGTTGCTGATATCTCCAGACTCTCGACGAGTGTTTCATCACCTATTCCATAATTAGACCATTACTTTAGCAGGTGTACCTCTTCTCAGCCGGAGCATGTGTTGTGCTTTTTTTTCTTTTTCTTCTTCTTTTTTTTTCACTGACACCTGAGATTTTATCTTATCAACTTCAGCACTGCCACAAATTTTTACATAAAATGAGCATACATGTTCCAGTGGGTTGTCAACACCTTAATCTAGAAGCATGTGTAGGATTGTGTATGTGCGAGGTTGGTGGTGGTGATGATGAGGGGTGTTACAGTAGTGACGAAGTAAGTAAAATTCCCATCCACCATGCAAATGTCTCTGCTACAATTATATGTCACCGATATCAACACCCAGAAAGCTACAAACATGCAGTACGTGTTTGACATGCAAACAATGAGCTATAACAGTTGTTTGTTACATGAGTTCATACAATAGGTTAAAAATGTTGAATAATCTTAGACATGAGAGTTATGTTGATGTTCTCATCTAATTCCCAGCAAGAAAGCCAATAGGCATATTGCCAATCTGTCCAACTATTCTTTTAAATTTACTAAGAAGTGGTAAAAAATGAAAGGAGGTTTTGCAAACTACTGATGCAACTGGTTTCATGCAGGCCTGTTCTTTACATTGCATTTAAAGGTCCAGTGTGTAACATTTAGGTGGATCTATTGGCTGAAATAGAATATAAGTTACATAGGTATGTTTTCATTGCTGTATAACCTGAAAATGATTTTTGTTGATTTTGGGGTCTTTGTTACCTTAGAATAAACCATTTTTATATAAACTACTGAGGGAACACGTCCTCTTCTATGTCTGCCATGTTGAATCGCCTTGTTTTACAATAGCTCTAAATGGAAAAACCAAAGTTTTGAGGCCACATGCTTGGGTCAGGAGGGTGAGGCAAGGGTGATGCAATCAGCAACTACATTGCTAGATGTCATTAAATCCTCCATACTGGTCCTTTAAATATAGGCTACAGCAGTGGAAAAACATCTAAAATCATAATAGATACAAGGGCTGAAGAAGCAGGTGGTGCAATGATTGCCTGTTGAGAATTTCCAAAATTAAAATTAGAAACTAACCCAAACGCTTGTCAGCAAACACAGGAAAGATTTTGCCACTTCAGTTAAGTGTGGAGGTGGTGAAAGTTTCTGGTCAAATGAGGTGGCAGTTTTCCACTGAATGTCTCCTCTCTAATTATAGAAGCGTTATAAAGTAGGGATCACATCATGTGCAGCCATGTAAGCCCATAAATACATTTCACAGTGTGTGGCCCCAATGAAGACACCACGCTGGCATATGGCACCATGTCACGAAACAGAGCAACAAGTCTTTGATTTGAATAAATTAGGATAATAGTTGCACAATGAAATAATTTATTTGATTGCTATGATGGGGGTAGAAATAATAAACCGGGCGATGGGAAAGCATCTGTCGCCCCTTGGTGTTTTGGACAGTCTACAAAGAGGCTTTCAAGTTTTGTGCTCTGGGAGATGTACATCCTAATGTTACCACTAAGCTAATACATTGCTCTTTATCTTACTTTTATCTGATTACAGTAATGACATGTGATGATTAGAGAGACAACCAACTGTCAGAAGGCGTGACCCGTAGATACATCCATGTAATGATAGTCGCTTAGTGAAGCACAACCTTAATTTAGTTATACCATAGCCAAATCGGATCTCAAAAGTTATTGCAAAGAAATACACCCACGAGTCAATGTGGCATTGTTGGCCCGGGCCTTTATTCTCCATGCATACACAATTCACACTCACAAAGTAAATTGGCACATTTAGCATTCATATAGCTTTCTGATGGTGCTTTAATAATATGTTCTCATCTGTTGAATTAAATGTGGAGAATCCAGTGCTTCTGTGCTCACTGACTCATCAGAAACAACTGTGTTCTGTATCAGCAAAGCATGACAGCTTGAAGAATATATTATACAATTATTATTTTTAAAGCAATTACAGTGTGTAGGCTACGTTTAATTTCGTTGTACACTTTGTGAACAGAATTTTGAATTGCTGTTATTGTTGTATTATTTTCCAGGGAAACTGACAGTGAAGAGATTGGACCTAGAAGGGAGATTGCTAACATGGCCACGCGGTTAATCATTTATTACCTGTCGCACGCGGAAGCATTTACTTCCGGCAGACTCGCGCGGGGTGAAGTCCGAAGGTGAAAGGTGACATCATCAGGAGACCGGGACGTTTCAACAGGTAAACGAAAAACAAACGACACCTATAGTGGAGTTTAGTTTCACTTCCTAAAGGCTCAGACAGCTTCTGGTCATTTCTACTATTTCATAAACGCTAACTGGGGTCGGCAGGGGACACAAACATATATTTTTATTAAGCCAAGTGCGCAGCTGCCATGAGCCCCATGTGTGTCTCTGAGAAACCTGTGCAGTCATAATGTCACTGACCTACCTGGAGGGCAGTGGGTCTCCTACCTGTTTCACAAAGCTGTGTAAACATTTAGGCTAAATATACAAAAAATGATATATAAAGTATGGGCAAATAAAGAGAAAGACAGTGTGCCAATAAACTATTACTGACTATTTATACATCTGTAAACCAAACCACAGTGTATCCTCTTTACAGGGGTGGATCTAGAGAAATATTTTATGATAAATAAAACAAAATAATGTTTAATATGTTCATTTCCGTTTTTAACACGTTATTTTTTACAATGAATCTAAATGAATGTGTTTAATCTGACAGCATTTGACAGCAAGGCATTTTCTAGCATTCTAGATCCACCCCTGCCTGTTTACTAAATCAGCACAATATTACTGCATATTAGGTTTTATAATGTAATCATCATAATCACAGCGGATTTAGAATAATATTCATGTCCACACGTTGACTCACCAACTTATATTCATTCCAGCTCCAACACTGACGTAATGGCTGCTGCCTGTACTCAGATCTCTTGCTAAAGTAAAAGTAGCAGTGTAGAAATAATTAGTTACAAGTGAAAAAAAAAAGTATTAGCATTAAAATATACTTAAGTAACAAAAGTACAAGTATTCATCATGCAGGATGACATATCCCTTAAATGGAATTGAGCTACTGTTTGGTAACAATACACCATTATTTATTTGTTGATTATATCTGTATTAATAATCTGAACCTGGAAAGTAGCTATAACTATACGAAACGTAGTGGAGTAAAAGTAAGGAGTAAGTAAGGAAAATACTCAATACTCAAAGTACCTCACAAGTGTACAGTACTTCAAGGATTCAATGTTATCAGTGTTTGTAATTTACAGTGCAGGGCTTTTGAAGTAAATTTAGATATAGTTCACTTCATGCTAAAAACAAATAAACAATTAAAATGTATTAATAAGTCATGAAAATAATAAAATACTCACACGGTTTCTCAGTCTCACAGCCTGAGGGAAGAAGCTGTGTTTACTTGAGTAAATATACTTAGTTACTTTCAACCACTGGCTGCTGCTCACAATGAGAAACTTTTAATTATTAAGATGAAACTATACAGAATAAACCTCTGAGTTACTATCACATCAAAGGTCAAATAAAAATACTTAACACATATAGCAATAGTATCACCCACATTTTATTTAGGAGGTGAACCTGCCTGTACTGCCTTATAGTTTTGGAGATAAAACTTCATGTTAACTGTATTCATCACCGAACATCGCCGACACACTATCCGAGTGTAGGAACACACACACACTGATATTTTCTCTGGGAGCTGGAAATAAGTTTGGATGGATTTTTCTTTGGTCTGCCTGGATGAGCCTCTAAGCCTTAATGTTGTGCTGGAAAACAAAGCTCATTTTGAACAAATTAATGTTACAAAGAGATCCCTCATTCTATTAGCTAATTTGCTATCCTGTTTCATTTGAATAAGTACAGCTATCTAACATTTGTTAAAGAGACAGCTGTTTCTGGAGTAAATCCCCTAATTTGATCAGCTTAATTGCAATAGATTTCGTAAACATCAAGATTGAATGCAGCAACTTTGTCAGTTAGTACAAGAATGCTTTAAACCTAATCGAATAAAATTGCGTAAGGGAACCATTGCAAAGCCACTTACCCTGTAAAAAGCTTGCATACCCATTAGGGAAAAATTCCCTTAGACAGGAATAGATAGCAATTGATTGGGACTTCCTTGAAAATATGTGATCACTCCGTCTAATTTGTGATTTGGTGAAGTCATTGGGTGGTCTCCAAATGCTGTTTTGTCGTTGGTCTCACTTGTCATTTGATCCAGGATTAGGTGGCCACTTTTTCTTCGGGATCCTAATAAGCCTCATCAAGAAGTCAATAATGGTGGCCAAGAAAAACCCTGTCTGTTCTCCATGTAATGAGCCCGAATGGTGCAGTGCTAATTTAGTTTCACTGTGTGCGTTTTGCGTATTTATTCAGCGTTTTCAGATTTAAAATAATACATTTTTAACTGCACTGTATGTCCCAGATATTACATTACATGATGTATTTTAAGTTCTTTCTCAGACGAAGAAAAAAGTGGATGGTTGTAGTTTGTTCTCTGGTGAAATGAGGCTCTGCTGTTATTCTAACGCAGCTTTGACATGTCTGAAGTGAGCAGCCAGCTGCCCGCAGAGCCCATCTCTGCGGTCGGAGTAATCGCCTCAATCAACAAGGCACCTGATGGCTTCTATGTTGTGAGTATTCATTTTGAGCTTTGTATTAATTCATTTCATAAACTTGTATTAAGCCTACAAAGATATTTTCATCTCCTTTACAGTAAAAGTGAAATACAAAAACAGGAGAAATGATTATTTATTGTTTTTGTGAGACTTTAAAATGTTTTTACCAGCGGGCTAAATTTCGCTCATTTAAAGTCTAAGCAGAAATTGAATGCTTTTATTTTGGTAAATGCTTTGTTTTTGCTCTGTGCTGTTGGTTGTGCATGTAATGGTTGTAACTGATTGTATAGCATAACTCTCAGCCAGGATGTTGGCAGCCTTCCAAGTGTTTTTTTTTGTCAGAGCTGTTAGATGACTTATTCATAAAGTTTACTTTGATGATTAGGAAGATTCCCTTCCTGACATTGTTATTGGTTGCCACCAGTATTGCAGACACACCAGAGGCAAAGCTTTAATGATGTTTGCTTGATGCCCACCGGAGTCATTTAAGTTTACCCCCATGTTATATTCAAGCGCCGCAACGACTACGACAACAAAAGGAACGTGTGAGGATTTAGTGCAGGATCGGCTACTTTATGTGACCCTTTCTTTCTTGGTTTTGAAAGAGTTGGAGAGGGTTAAAAAGAGAAGCGAGTGTGTGAGTTGAATCCAGCACAAAACAAGCTCAAGGGCAGATCTCTCTTCCTCTTTCTCTCTCTCTCTCTTCCTTTTCAGACTTCTTCTTGCTTTCACCCTAAGCCCCCAAACCCTCCCTGTTCCCCCAGTTTCTATCTCTTCCTGCTCCACCCTACACACCCAGCTTGTTCTAATCTCTGGCAGATGATGGTGGGTTGGCATCAGTACGGAGCCACTGGCAGGGAAACTGCGTACACACCACACGGTAGTGACAAACAGAGAGAAACCCCATCAGACTTCCTCCTCTGCTGCTCCAGTGCGCCAATACATTTCAGTTGATGTGCAAATATGTGCATGCTCTGTAGGGCTAAAAGCTCGTCACTGGCTGTTAATGACACTGGTTTATCTCTGTAATGGATGCTCAGTAAATTCTACTTTTTTTTGTCAACCCCCAGGCAGTACACCAGCGGTTTGAAATTTGTGAATAGTTTAGACTTAAGATAATGAAAGTGTAGACGCATTAATGAATCAAAAAACTGTTATTGCAATCACATGCAAACAACAACCTGTCTTTTTGTGTCAATTGCCTGCACTATTCTGAAACACTGCAAACAATACCCATTCTGTTGTTATAGCTAAATCAAATGCAGTATTAGTATTTCAACACAATAGATTATTATAGTGCGTTTTGTTGTGTGTGGCTTTACGGCAGTCCATCACTTCCAGATCCACACTGAACTATGAATATGTCTCTACTTTATGCTAAATTAATCTCCTGACTTCTCTTCTAGCGCCACCATGAGGTTGACATTTTGGGATTTTATTGAAATAAACCAAAACCATTGTTTGGTACAAGTTTGGTACAGATATCCACTGCGCCCAGAGGATGAACCCCAATGTATTAATTCCTATACCTGTAAAAACAAATAACATTCCTATCACCTTCAGCTGCGCTTTGTGTTATTGCTAATTAACTAAACATCAACAATTTAACCTCATCATTAGGGATGGGATGATATATATACGATTTTATCACAAATCGCGATTAAAAAAACACTCAGATAAGTTGATTGGGGTGAATTTCCATCATGGGGAAAATTGTGAAAATCCTCACATGAGTAACTTAGAAAAGCTGTCTAGCCTGCCAACGTACACTCCTTTATTGATTTCCTACAAAGGGAAGGCTGTATCTTTCCTAAGCCTGTCACCATGGCTGAAGGCTCATTGCCCATTATATACCCCACAAAAACTGAATGTGTGGACATACAAAGGAGTCTAAAGTAAAGAAGGAAGAGAGAAGTGTCTATCTGAGGTCTCCTATCTGTGATGCAATAAAAATATTTGTTTATTAACAAAATGTAAGGTAGAGTGATTCCAGTGTGATTTAGTTCCATTTTAAGATTTTTAAGTAGATTTTGATGATTATAACTGAATGCGGTGAATCACATTTTTTGACCAGCTTAATTGTCCTCACAGAGCTATTAGCATAGACTCATAGTCTTGTTCTTCTGATGTGAATGTAGCATCGTTTCCTGTCTGTGTGACATGTCGGTCCTCAATAGAATATGTTTGTTGGAAAACTGGGTTACACTCCAGATAGCTTAAAGCCCATCTTTAATACTATAATCTTAGTGATATATTTCTGTCTCGGTTAGTTTTCCTTTGTAATATAAAATAAAATAAAACACATCCTTCGAGGTAATAAAATATCAAATCATACCTATGAATAAAAAGTCAAATACGAGTTAGCCTCCGAGATAACATTCAAGGCCTTTCAGACTCTGAAGCACTTTTTCAAATGTGTTTGTCCCATCTTCAAGAACATCTTTTGAACATCACCATGCGGTCTTTCATCTGCAGACTTAAAAAACAAACTATCAGAAAAAAATATCAGCGCTCGGTATCAGTGTTACTAATGCAGCACTGAGAAGGGGAAGTCTCAGGATATTACGTTGTATTGACTTTTTCCCCCTTCCCTTTCAAACTAAGTCTTCTTTTAGAATTCCTCCTTAATACTGACTGCTTACCATACTTACCATACTTTTTATACAGCAGATCAAAGGGCTGATTAGCTCTTTTGCTCTCTGATACGACGCGCTCACATCTCTGAACTTGAGCAGGTTGTTCCAACACAAGAGAGCACAGGCCCAGATCAAACGCTGTTCCACTGGGATCAGGAGCTTTGCTGAAGCACCAGCAGCCACCCAACATCAAACGCCATGAGTAGACTCACGCACACTCACGCTCTGTGCAAGGGTTGCAAAGGGGATACGCATGCATTTCAGATTCACCTGAGCATTTGACATGTTACGCTCATAAACTCATTACTGAAATGTATGTTTATTTGAAGAAACCTAGTGCTAGCTTATGATTAGCTGGGATGCCGGGATTTACAAACTCAATAGCATCTGTTCTTTAAAGGTATAGTTTGACATTTTGGGAAATAAGCTTATTGGTTCTAATCAGGAGTTAGAAGAGAAGATAGATACCACATTTTATGTCTGTGCACTTAGACTGGAACTAGGGCCATAAGGTGCTTAGCTTAGCATAAGAGAGTAAGCAGGGGGAAACAACTAGCCTAGCTAAAACTCAAAAATGTGCCTACCAGCACCTTTAAAGGTCACTAACTAACATGTTTCGTCCACAAACTTGCATTTAAAATGAGTATTTGTCTTGTCATCGTCTACTGCCAGACAATCAGCCGACAGACACAGGGGCAAACAGTTCTCCACGGAACAGTTACAGCAAGCGAGTCTCTTTAAAACCAAGTTTGTTAGTAAGTGAGCTTGCTGGTAGGTATATTTTTTTGTTTGTAACTGTGAATGTGATCAGGGTGTTGCAGAAAAAAAGAGCATTGTTCTCAGTAAAACTCCCCTGAATAAATAAAGGTGGGGAAAAACAGACTTGAAAGTGATTTCAGTCCTCTCATCTAAATCTCAGCAAATAAGCACATTCCCAAAATATCAAACTATTACTTAAAGTCAAGGAGCTTTTTCAACAATACATGCTGCTGCAGTTATTTAATATATAGTCAGTAGTCAGTTTATCTATTTTATATTATTTTTTTATTATTATTTTTGTCTTGTTTCAGTTGTTCTGTTCTTCTTTGAAGGGACTGGTTTGTTCCCTGTTACTCTCTCATGTTTTCCCCACCTGGCTTCACTCCCCAGAGATTTTTGATTGTTTGCCTTTATATCTTTTTATTCGCAGCTGTGCTTCTCAGTGCTTCATAGTAACTTGCTGGTGGTGTCTGTCTCCAGAGATCCTTCATAGGAGTATTCAGCACCCCCTAAAGACTTGTTTCACAGGTGGGCTTTTAGATCACTGTAAGCTTTAGATTTTAGGAAGTGGCAGTTGAATCTGTCATTGCATTTTAAATCAAATGATTCAGCCGTATTTCAATATCAGAGCCGTGACGTCTCTTATCAGACATGTGGCATTGAAGTCTGTGTAATGATGGAGCCATGCAGTGGCAGACTTGAAAGTATTAGAGAAGAGCCATGGCAACTTTACACATGCCTTCTCCGCCGTGGCTCAGCAGTTGGCATTTCACATTCAAGCTGCGTCGCATCCTTCCTGCCGGCGGCTGTGGCAGGATGATGCCTGAGGTGCCTCCTAGGAGGACCGTGCCCTCGTTACTCCTCAACTTGACTTTGGGTTTCACAAAGCGAGCCCTTTGTTTACGCTGACAGGATGCGCTGGCTACTGACCTGGAAAAAGTGGCCAAGACGGGTTGTCTTGTAAGGAAGAGAGAGGCTGGTGATGTATAGGCTCCTTCTGGGACCTTTCATGGAACTGCTGTTGGAGACGCCCCGCAATCCCTCTCTCCGCTCATCCTCCACTCTTTCTCTCTCTCTCATCCCACTATCTATCTCTGTTCCCCAGTCTAGTCTCCGCTCTCATCCCATCTAGTCAGTGGTGGTTTTTCATGAATCTCCCCATGCCATGTTTCCCCCACCCAGTCACCGAGGTCATTCATCATTATTGTCAAGGGGGTAATGTGTGTGGGTGGGTGCAGAGATCTATGACTTCTTCATTTGAATGAACCTCATTAGATTGACTCTTCTTTGTAAAGGATCCCTTTAGAAAATAACTCTGGCAGTTATTTAGGTGATTCTCACATGAGGGCCAATGGAACATGACGCTTCAGCCAAGCATATTTACTGGAACGAGGGAAGAGTCTCTGGGATGCAGTCTGCAGGTTATATTTTGCTTTATCATTCTGCCCTGCATACCTACATTTACATAGCAATGTAGTGTTGGACCTTGAGTTTGACTTGTGGTGCCTACATGCTGTCAATATGATGCAATCTATTATTTTTACTGACTCCACTGATCATTTACAACTATGAATGAGCTTATTGTACAAGGACAAGCTGCCTGGGTGGATTTAGATTTAGACTTATTTAGGCATACACATGAAATTGCTTTAAATCCTCAGTAATTCAATCTTAGAAGGCTTATTCTCATTAAATAATACAACAATCCACATGGGGTGTAGAGCAGCAAAAGTATTTAAGGTGCGTGTGCAGTGTTCTCAGTTTACCTGTGTCTTGCACAAGGGATACTACAGTAGGTTTAAAAAAAAGATACATTACCCCAAATATAATCCCTGCTTTCCCACAGAAGCACATTGAAGTTTGGTTTCCTTATTAGAGCAGATCCTTGTCAGGGCATCTTTAATCAGCCCGGTCCCGAGGGATGATATTTTTAGCCACCTTTTTGGAGGCTAAGACTCCTTTACCCACGCAGAGCACTAATGAGATGGAGCACTAGTGTTGGCAAGCGTTAATTAAGGCTAGTATGCAAGGGAAGAGGCAAAAGCAACACGCTCATGGCATACATACATTAACTTTATCCCACCTCCTGCATGTTTTTTTCTCTCCTTGTTTTTTTTTCCTCTTTTTTTTTCACGTAGGTTGCACAAACAACAGATGGCTCTGACGCCGACCTGTGGAAGGACGGCTTATTCAAATCCAAGGTCACTCGCTACCTCTGTTTCACCAGAAAAGCTGTAAGTGGGAATGTAAACTTCTCCCTTTCCCTATGCATTCTGCACTAACGCCTCATCTGCTGCCTCTTTTTTTGTTTGCCAGCAGTTATTAGCTCAGTTTTCTGCTGCCAGAATGTCTTTGTGCACTTTGCACTTTGATCAGTGAAAGTCCCATTTAAAAGGCCAGCGTTGGCTTGGCAGCGCAGTTTTGAACTTTTACATATAATGAATTTGCATGCATATTTCAGATGAATAATACCTTGGTGAGATATTTTTCATGTTGTACGTCCTCCTGAGGATATTATTTATGTTTATTCATGAAATAACAATGAGCTGTATTTTTACTATTCCAATTTATTCAATCAACAGCGTCCCTGTAGAGAAAATGGTTACCAACCAGTGATTCTTGAAAGCTGATGCGCATATAATTGTGAATAGGAAAGTACTCATTTTTATGTAAGAAATTACTCCACAAAAAGCACTTTTCAGTATGGCTGTGCTACATATAGAGCTCCCAATTTGAGCAGCATTGAGTCTCCTGTGGCTGAAATGATCTTTGAATGTTTCTCATAATGCTGTTGGGTCAATTTTGGACTCATCTCCTGCCTGCAGCATACAGCTGATGTGTTGTTGCATGGCTGTCAGCTGCACTGTGGCCATAAATACACCTGCTTACATCTCCAGGATTATCAACCTGTCTAACCACAGCTCATACAGCTTACTATTGGCTGCCTATTAATTTGTTTCCAGGCTGCAGGTCGATAATGCAGACAGTATGGTAAACAAAACCTGCATTTTTTTGTTATTATTTTGCATCAGCTCAATTTTAGGACTCAATCAAGTCTTTTTTTACAGGATGTCCTCTAAAAGCCAGGCAACTTGGCAGCGTCTGCCTCGTGCCTTAGTTCAATCTGCTCCTCAGTTTAGTATATAGCATACAAATAGCCTTCCCCTAGTTCCTGTATATTATCTTAAAATGTGTGTCTGCATTGTTTTAAAGATTTTGACACAAATAAAACATGACAGAGCCATCAACAAAGGCTGTTTTGTCTGCCAGTCAATGGAGCTCCCACTGTAATTGTCTATGACAAAAACAGATTCTGTAAAATTAGCCCCTGAATTACGTGGGGGGAAGTAAATAGTTTGTGATTTATCATACTCTAGGTTGGAGGTAGAAAGCCCCCTTTTGTCAGACCCTGATGGAAGAAATCTCTCCAGCAAAAGGGGAAAACACTAAAAAAGGTTCCATGCATAGTAATAACATTCATCCATATTCCTCCTTAAGTCAGTATAAAAACTATGAATAAAAAATGTCTCTAATGGTAATGACTGTCGGGCAACAGTAGCAGTGAAATCCAGCCTTTTCGGACGCATCAAGTCACGCCTGGCTCGCCCCACTCTCTACCGCCGCTGTGTATTATTGCAATTTATTATGGCAAAAAATGAAAATGTAATGGGAGGCAGGGAAGAGTCATGCTTGAAAATGTCAACTACACAGTCCCTGATTGTTTTTAACCAGTCCCATTCTGTTGATTAGACTGCCTACTCTGTCTCCCATCATCCCACAGCTTCTCGCCAAAAGGTTGAGAATGATTACAAGTTCACAGATGCATTCTCTCATTGTAAAAAAAAAAGCTATTAGAGAGTAATTACTTCAGCTATTTTGTCAACCCTTCTCTTTAGAGACTTCCTGAGCTTTTAGTGAATCATTGACTCTTATTATCTCTACATTTTCTTTCCTGAGCCCTTCCAAAAAATGACTAACCTTTTCTTTTCCTTGCTCTCTTGTCATTTTTTAAAAGTTGAATTTGCATACATGACTTTGAATTTCCTGCCCGTGCTCTATCTTTTAGGGGCCCGACGTTGTTGTGGACGTGAAGGTGATTGACATTAAGGACGCCTTGCCAGAGGGCTTCACACCTGTGGAAGAAACAATGGACACAAGTAAGTAAACAGGCGATACCGACCAGAGGCTCGCTCCCCTCTCCTCTTCTTGTTTTTTTTTCACTTCTCCGACCAGCTTATGCGGAGGTCCTCAGGGGCAGCTTTGCTTGAGATAGTGAATGTTTTATGGGTGCAGGTTAGCTTAATTTATGGCAGACTGTGGGAATAAAATAAACATTTTGCCCTGGAGGTACAAGAGAAGAGAATCATGAGTCATTGTTTATCTCAGCTGGAGCTGTGCTTTTCTTTATGAGGGGCTTATTTATTTATGTATTTATTTGGGGAGAGGACGAGTGGATGGGGGTTATCTAATATTAATGAAATGCATTCCCCAATGCTTTAGTGCTTTTTGAGTGCTATGTATTTCCCCTCTCACTATCCATGCCTTGGAAATGTAATAATATTTTGGTGTGGGGAGTGAGGACAGCTTGTTTATTATTTTTATTATCATTGCATTTACACTGCACTTTCTAGTGTTGCAGGGGAAATAAATGAGCGAGGCACAGATGCAATATAGCAATATAGGGAAGCATGCCAATGTTTTTTTTTGCCAGAATGAAGAAAAGAGATTATGTTTTGTTTGGCTATGTTGTAATTTAATGTTTTATTACTTTATGTGAATCCATGTTTAATGTATACATGTGACATTATGTATGAGTTTCTATCTTGAATATCCAGTTTAAATCCCTGTTGTGCACTAAAACTGATGGAGGAATCACTTGCTTCTGTCATTTTACCTACTAAAATGATAAAAATGATAATAACGCATGTGGATTTTGTGCCTTTCCTCTGTCCGGTCATTTCCCTTTGAGCACAGCAAGTCCCCCAGCAACATGATATTGGCTCATCTCTTATTCTAATGCTAGCAATGACTAAATAGCAAAGTGTAAGTTGGATTTGTGAATATATATTTCACCTAGAGGTTCAAAATGTCTATAGAATTTTTTTTTTTAGCTTGAAACTCAGAGATGACAGAATTGGATACGCGACCACCAATTCCTGTCTGACACCCTCATGTGTACCTGACTCATCAGAGGAAGCTGCCATGAGGAAGAGGAGGCTCTGTGTGAAAATCAGCCCTCGTGCGGCTGCCGAGACGGCTGTATATGACATCCAGATCATTGCGAAGTCCAAGTACCATCTTGTTAACTACACCTGTATAGGGTGAGCTGTTTGACACTGGAAATAAATGAATTCATGATGTTTTGTATCTTCTGTCAATCATCGTACATTCTCATTTACATGAAGGATTACCAACTAGCTGCTTAAAACAAAGTGAAACACTCTCTGTGTGTCTCTTCTTGGTCTTTAAACAGTGAGATAAACAATATGGGGATGTGGTATCGGATTGGAGATGTTCCCCAGCATCAGTCGTCCCAGGAAACGTCCAGTACAGATAACACAGCCGCTCCACCCAACACAGCAAGGTAACATCATATCACAATATTCAGCAACAAGTTTAACTTTCCTCCTTGCTTTCTCTTTTATTCCACACCCAGTGTACTCTTTAGCTGTTGTTACGCTCTGGTACCATATGTACGACAATGAAGACACGAGCAATTGATCACTCCCGGGCAATCTGCCGTAAAAGGTTGTGGCTGGACAATGAGGTAGTGAGGGTGAACCAGAGAGACAGGCTAACTAGACAGGATCGCCTGAACAAGAACATGAGTTCAATGAGGGCTAAACTCCTGCTATTTGTGGTGTGTCCCGGGAGGCAGAGGCAGGTCGCTCCTCTGACTGTGGTGACAGGAGTGTTGTACTGTGCAGACAAAGAGGAGGAGATGTAGCCCGGAGAGCGAGCGACAGCTGCAGAGGAAGGGAGGAGAGCTCCAAGATCTCCGCCATGCTGGAGTGTTTGTGCGTCCCCTCCTCTGCGCATGCTGCTCAGGCTTCCTCCGCCTCAGGCCTCAGAGTGAATGGAGCAACCCTTTGTACTGTGTCCAGATCAAACAGCTCAATTATTTATCGCAATGAAGAACTGGGGATTTCCACAGCAAATTGTAAATAAACAATTGAGACTCCTTCGGTGTGGCGGTGCTGTGGAGAGGGAAGCTTGGCACGGGGCGCCGACGGGTCTGCCAGCTTGAAGTGCTATGCTTTGCCATCCTGTGCTGGGCTGAGTAAAAGCCACTTAAAAGCCACAACAGGCCAGAGCGGTGGATGCCAGCAGGCGTATTCAAAACAGAGCTTCTGTTCACATGGCCACTCAGTGGGATGAGAACAATAAAATGGACAGGCGTGAATTCAAAACCCAAGTTCAAACTGGGTAGAGTTATGTGAATTGTCCATATTTTGGAAGTGGATGGTCAATAAACTTTGATGTGTTGAAGTGATGGTGGGCGCTCAGGCCCATGTGTACGCCTTCGCAACTCTTACCGGTAATCCTCCGTTCTTTTGAAGCCCACTTTCAAGTTTGTAAGGCTCAGAGGTTGGAATAAATTGCACCTCGAAGCGACTCACACCCCCTCCTGATGCCTGCTGAGATCACAGGCTGCTGTTTTTGTATTAACATTAAAATTCATTCCACAGTCAGAGTCTTCTTTTGAGAGTATTTCCATCCATAATGCACTGACACATAAGGACGGCACTGTGGGCAATTTAGACAGCGGCAGTTCTTTGACTATTTATCTGGCATCCTTTCTGTGTAGTTACATGCATTTTAGACAACCATACATACAGCTATAAATATGTCTGTAGTTTTTTTAAAGTCACAGACTAGAAAGTTTGACACAGTGATTTATAAACAGCTCTACAACACTCACTGATTGCTTAAATAAGCACAGTACTACAGTGTAACTGTCTGTGTAGTATCACCCCACTATACTTTATTCATATTCAGCAAGAGAAAATTCTCTCCTCCATGCCTCCTTCGGGCTATCTATAACAACTTTATGGCCTTTGGAGAATAGCACCTCTTAAATTTAAGTGCTCTTTACAGTCAGTGGAAAAGATGTTTTAAATACAGTCAATAATGTGTAAATTTTTAATGACCCTTATAATTTTGAAAGCTGCAGTGATCCCTCTCAAATGTTAAGTTGCCTCAGGCAGTGAGAGCTTGTTAGAGTTGTGTACAAACAGAAACCACAAATCAGGTTTTTTCAGCAGTGCAGAGCTGCAGTACACAGTAACTGCAGGGTGTTGCATCATTATGGGATGCACACCGTGATTGCATCAAGGCTAAGGTGTTGTATTGGAATTGTCTTTGTATTGTTTTGTCAGGCAAAACAGGGTACCTGCAGGACTGGGAAAGTTTTTAAAACTCAGAATTCAGTTTCCTCAAAAAAGGCTTTAGAATGTGTTTATTTAGAAATTCCTGCTGTAGGCAGCGATGTTAGTTATGAAATGTTTCTGCAAATGATTGCGGGCTGTCGGGAGACTTTACTTGCTTGTAAACTAAGGCTGTTGGTATTGTTAGTGGAGTTTCAGTCAGCACTATCATACCTATAGTTTTACTGCTACATACTGTTACATTGTGTTATAATGGGCAAATGTTGATTTTAACAAAACATTTAAAAATGCTTGCAACGGATGAATCTTCTCCTTATTAATAAATCTCCAAATTTTAACGATTAATCAATTATTCGTTTAGTGTATGAAATATCAAAAAGGAGTGAAAAACATCCATGAAAACTTGCCACAGCCCAAGGGGATATACTCAAAAGATAGTTCACTTACTATCATATATGACAAAGAAAAGTTGCAAATGATTGACGTGATTAATCGAATATCAAAACAGTTAATCTTCTTTCAATCAACTAATTGAATAGCAGTGCTAAAAATAGTTTTTAATTGGTTAATCCATGCATCCATTTTCTGACACTTATCTATGTCCTGGTTGCAAAAATGAAATGAATTATATCATTAAGGAATTATTGTTGGGAACTACTGGGGGACAAAACTGATATAAAAAATAAGCAATTCTAGGCCATATTGTCCCTACTGATTTTCCATCATACTGTCATGCCTGGTATGATTGTGAAACAGGTATTAAATTGCATTCTCTGTGCTGTTAAAAAAAGTCTTAGAAAGTCTTAAATTTAACTTGGTGAACCCTGCTGAAACCCTGTAAAAAGGACTCTGAGGAATTAGTACAGGAATTATTATTTCCTCAGTTCAAGTAAGTTTTAGCAGCTCAGGCGGGATCAAGGATAAACACTAAACCTAAAATAGTTATTTCTTATTGGCTCAGGCTGTTGCACCATATTGAGCCACTAAAACTGTTAGGGTACAGGCCTCTTAAGCAGTCTGCCGCGCAAATGCATTTGAACCGTGTGTGTTTAATGTCTCTTTATCAAGTTTGTCTAAAGCGTTTAAAACGCGTTCTGTCTTGATTCATAGCTGCAACTTGATGTCAACCACTTTGGCTTGTTCTCTGTCAAGACCGACCGTATCAGCCACTCCCTGACTTTATAATGCGAAAAACCTGCACCATCCGGTCAGCCTTTTAATATGTCCAGTAAAGTATCCCCCTCCTTCCTTCTCCTGGCCAACGCTGCCATTTGTTCTCCTGATAAAACTGTCATTGCTGAGGCTGATATCTGACCTCTACAGTGACTGCTAGCATAAATTAGCCTTGTCCTAATATTGCAATTTCTTTCGCTTCACTCAGAATCAAGGTTTTTGACATTTCTCTTAGAATAATAGGCTATTGTACACACGGACACTTTTTAAATCAAACTGTACAGCGATAAAAATGTCAAGGCCAAGTATCTTTTTTTCCCATCGCATAGTGTAGTTGGCTTTTTCACGTGAACACGTGAAGCCTAGAGAGTCATCAGTGTCAGAATTGGCATGCATATCAATACGTTTTGGATGGCACTGTCTTCTACCTGTGACACTCCACACATTGCTGCAGCTCTGCAGGAGTATTGTATCAGCTTTCATTGCTCGCTGGTTAACCAAGACTTCCCACTGCACACGACTCTTGAGAGAAAGAGACACCATGACTGTCAGCGTGTCGCCTGACAGATCTCCCATCTGAGGCGCTGAAAGAACAATCACTCCCAGCTCAATCTTACTCATTACTTTGTTGTGTTCAGAAAAGTTGCAAAAAGTAGAGCGATCAAGCAAAGGGATGCCAGAAATGATCGAGTGATCAGCGAAGATCTGATGGGCTCAGACTGTTCAGTGATTTGCCGCCATATTCAGAGAGATCCTCTTTTCAATACCTGACACCGAGCTTAAAGGAGGATAATGATGGGTGAGAAAGCGGCTCCCACAAAGCAGCACTGTCTGCACATAGAGGAAGGTGTGGAGATGTTGTCACGGGAAAGGCTGGATGTGTGTCAAAACAAGAGCTTCCAGCTCTCTGTATCGCAGCTCTGGCTCTTCAGTGATATTACTCTCATCCTCATCTTACCTCTCCACTGACTACCGCTTGTCTGTCCCCACTGTCTCTCCCACTTTCTCTTCTCCTTCTCCTTTTTTTTAACACAGACAACTCTTTTCCTTATTCCACATGGAACAACTTAAAGAACACCATCCCCAAAAAAATCTGTTGAACTCTAATTCATGTTGTCAAGCAATCCTCAGTGTCGTGATTTTCTTTGCTGCACTAATATGATTTTAACTCGGGCAGATTTCAGGGGAACATAAGACTCTTGATCTGCGTTGTAATTGCGTAAATCTTTCAGGCCGTGTTCCCAGTTTTACTATAATTTGATGAGGAACTACACTATAATTGAATATTCAAATTAGGAATATGTGTCAATATGGCTCTCCTTGCCTGAAATGAGGATTAATTGTTGTCAAAACTCCAGTGGCCGACATAATATGAGCCCCAACACTGCTGTTGATTAGCAAAAGCACTTGCCATGTTTTTTGTTTTAAGAATTAGTTGTCTAATTGATTTGCCATATGTTACCCTCTCCAATGCACCTAAAATTGTATTTAGAAATCACCAATTTGGATTGAGACAGTTTTGTGTTTCAAACAGATGGGAAAAGCAACCCTGGAGGTTGCCTGTAGAAAAACATTTCATGAGCACATTTCCCTGGTTTCACGCCGAGTCTTTGGGATTTTAAGTACCACTTTCTCTTTTTTCAGATGTATAGATAAATAGCCCGACTTAATACTTGCTCTGTTCTCTTTGTTTCTTCTGAGTACTAATTTAACAACGCAAACACAGACGCCCTAAAAAGACATTTAAACCATTTCCCCCTACTTTATCAGTCCGTGGGATGTCTCTGTGCTTTGAAAGATGTGTACCTTTCTTCCTCAGCAGTGGAATCAACCTTTGAAAGGTAAAAGAAGTCTGCGTTGAATATGGCAATCGTTCCCACAAGATTGATGCCAACCTTTTAAAAATTCACCATTGGCCTGGATTTAACATGGCCAAATGCTGATGTAAATGAGGAGGAGAAAAGTCGACCCTTTCATTGCAAATAAATCTGAGTTGCAGGCTTCAGCTCATAAATACCACAGCCTGTCAGAAGTCTTGTTTTATTGCTCTTGATGGAAATTATTGCATTTATTTATCTCGTGCGAAGAGATAAGGCTTTGAAAGCCACAATTCATGCATAGCACCCTTGGAATATGCAGATCTGCCTTTAGTCTTAAATTTTAAGAATTTTGATTTTACACCCCCCTGCAAGCGAAGAATAATTATGCGATCCATAAACAGACCAAATACAGAACATGATGCACCAAACACACTTCATTATTTGTAACTTCACACCTGCTCACCCCCAAAATCTGTCTTGTCTTTTCACAATTCAGCACTGTCTTATTTCTCCCTCTCTTTAACAACAAACCCGTACGCCTGTGTGTCCTCTAATCAGAACAATTCCCTTTTTAATGATATCGCCAACTACTTTGCATTATCATTATAAGATCATTTGTTTTATAATGCCATCCTGGAGCTCATTGTACCTTCAGAGCATGTCATGTTATGCAGCTCTCTTGAAGCTGTGAATTTTTTTTTTTTCCTGCTTGCTGTGGATTTATCGATCCATAGGGGTGAGTCACAGGGTGTGATTCATGATAGCTTGATTGATGAGGATTTCAATCTTATATGGTTTGTTAACTTCAACTGCCCACAAAGTGCATTCTGTGCTGTTTTCTGTAATACAAGGCCATGAAACGAAAAAAAAAAACAGACTTCCCTTGAATAATGGAATCTCTCAGTTCCTCCAGAATTAACAAGATCCTGCTCCAAACCCCCGTTAAAGGTCTGTTCAAGCCCCTGGGCTGCTGCTGCACGGTTTAACTTTTACCATATTTCTCCTCTTCAGATTCATCCTGTTATTTCAGTGCTCTGTTTTTTCCTTCACACAGATAAAAAGCCTTTTTTTAAGGAGGGAGTTTCCAGGCTTCCATTATATTTTAATGTCCCAGCAATGGGTCTCAAATACAGAACATGCAGTTTGTATGTTTTTAGCGTGATGCTTAATAAAACAGCATTGATGAGTTGAGAGAACATTGTTGCTTTCTTTCTACCAGCAGGAGGACCACGAGCAGGCCGGACTATGAGCACCAGAGCAGTGGGAATTACACCCTGACAGGTAAATGGTCTCACACTTTAAATGTATGCAAATCAGTGCCATTTATGACCGTCACTATAGAAAATTAGAAGAATTTAATTGTTTGCACTACGTTGTTAAACTGCAGATCTCTTACTTGTAGCCAACTTACTGCAAGACAGAAGCTCTATGTTTTTGCAGAAAAGGTTCAATACTTGTACTTATGCTTTCTATGTACACTTCGTCTCCTGCTGTACATAAAGGCAGCTCCTCCGGCACTTGATCTACAAATGCTCTATGTCTAGATCTCCTCACTGATGGATACTGTACAGAGCTTTGCTTATCTGAGCGAACGTGACTTCCCAGAGGAGCTGCGCATTACACTTAAGAGAACATTTAACAGCTGTCAAAGATGATCCATCACATGCCATACTTACATATGTACCGTGCATGCACTGGACGAATTCCCCTCTCTTTTGTCAGGGAGAAACTCAACTATAGTACAATGCTCCGGGACTAAAACAGAAGAAAGGCTAATTCGTTAGGAAGCAGAGCTTAGCTATGACAGCCTCAGAGCCACAGAGTCAGAGGCGGCGGAGACGCTCCAGCCTTAAAGAGCGTGTGATCCACCCGAGGTGAATGAGGCAGGCAGCTTTTTATCCAGCTGGAGAGAGACACCATGTGGTGAGGATTCCTCCTGCTGCTCAGGCAGAGGCACACCCAGGCTGTGGCCATGTAACACCCTGCCTTTTTAATACAAGTCTAGTCTATTAAACATGCTGAAGTGCACATGATAGAACTTTATAAGGAAATGTTAAGATACAAAAATGTATTTCAATTTTAATGTCTTTCTAAATTTAAAGTTGTTATTTCCTTTTTTTTTGCCACCATCCAAAAAAGAAAAACAGTGTGTAATTGACAAAAAATGATTAATAAATCATTGTTTTATTGTGACAGTCATATTATAAGTTAGTCAAGACAACTGTGCAAAGTGTGGCCCTGAAGGAGCAGACATTAACACACAGCTGAGTGGTTTGTGGCATTGGGTGTGGGATTCCTCCACTGGGACAGCGTTTGAGTGACAGTGAAGAACATGCGCATACTGTACAGAACGCTGCCAGCAGTCATCATTTATCTCCAGAACACTGTCCTTTGCAGCTGTACAGTCTCCCTCTTCCTTCTACCTTTGTGTGTCCCTTCATGAGCGGCTGATATTTTAGAGAAGAAAGGATAATGGAGTTAGCCCAAGATGGTTCCTGGCTTTATTTCTTGAGACTGTGTACTCGTCAGCCCTTACAGCATCATACTGTGAATGTGAGAGAACGCAACTTCCCTTCATTAACAATGTGATAGCCTGCAGACCAAGTGTGAGGTCGTAGCCGACAGCCTATTTGTGTTAATTGTTAGCGGTGGTAGCTCTGGTCTGTGTGTGTGGGGGTGCGTGGGTGCCTGCGTGTGCACGCGTGTGTGTGGGCTGACAGCTGGCCAGGTTCGAGTTGGTCTAAAACCATGTGCGCTCTGTCAGGGTTGTACAGGCGCCTTCTTTAGGATTGATGAATTGCCTGCTTTCTTGATTAAACCCTCCGTCACTTCCCAACAAAACAAAAACCCCAACACAAAAAAAAGAGCGAGTTGAGGGGAGGAGAGGTAACATGTCTGGGAAATCTGTCATCTGCAGTCACATCATGTACAGATGTGATGTGCAGGCGCTTTGACATTTATTACCAGAATATTAAAAACTAATTCACATTTATTTTGCAGCCCTCTTTCACTTGACAGTTCAAGCTCATTTGAAAAGTTATCAAGTTTTCATCGCAGTGCCAACCTTTTGCTTTTCTTCACCACGTTGCTTTGATCCACGCCAAGTCCCTTTGCCAATTAGGTCAGTTATTCATACATTGACAGAAAAGCAGGATATTTTAAAGGTAATTAAGCCTGTGTTCATGAAATGTGTCTAAAAAGCATATGTTATAATAAATAAATGTAAAGGTGTCAAAAAAAGTCTAAAACTCTAAAATAAATCTGTGTGACGCTCAGTCTCCCTTCATTACCTATAGAACAACATATAGTATTCAGCAGACATCAACCTGATAAAAAGGTAAACGTAATAAAAAGTAATACATTTACATATCTATTGCATTAATCAAAAATAAATCCTGACATTGGCCCTGATCTAACGTAATATGGAGAGCAATTATTTCCCTATCCATTAGAGGAACTTCAATTAACAGACAGAAGACAGTTCATCCTTCAGAGGAGGAGGGAAAAAAATAGGAGGCTCAAAATTAACTTGGGTTTGCAAAATATCTTGGCAGGATGACAGTGATTTTTGATTTTCAGGAAACAATATTAGAATTCTTATTAAACTATGTGCATCTGCTTTTAATTTGCTGCAAATAATTGGAAAATGCAATGGAGCTTTCCAATTAAAGCTCCACTTTATGCTGTTTAATAATACCCTCATAATATTATAGCTTATGAAATGACAGGTGAGTTGGTGTATGAATAAAACATAAAGCCCTGTAATAAGAGACAGAAAAAAAAAAAAAAACGAGACAGTTGTTGGGGGGCTTTTAAATGCTCGACATAATTTGCATATATTAATCTCCTCTTTTCAGCCTTATCAAGTATTCCACTGTATTTGAAGTTAAAATAGTCGTGACAGGCAGGGGTACGCTTCGTTTTTCCAAGGATTTATTACTTGTATAATTCTGGATCTTTAATAAGCCAATATGACTGATCCTCTGAGTTCTGTGGAATTTGGTTAATTGTTCCAGATGGTGCTCACTGATTATGCAAAATTACTTTCTTTCTCCTCTTTTTCCCCCAACTACACCATTTCTTGATTGACTAACATGGAGAAAAAAGATTATTTTTGGCGCAGCACTTTCATTAAGAGGGTTCTCATCAGGTTTCAAACAAAAGTTCCATCTTATCTCCCTGTGTAGTTCTGGGCGAGGCTGTGCAGAGGGAGGAGATCTGCCGGCTCTTATCTCAAACCGTGATGGATCTCAACTGCTTCTGCACCGCTGGGGTTATATTTTAGAATAACACAATTCTTTAGGCTGAGGGATTAAAAAACACGACCTCTGGATAGTGACACAAAAGTTATTATTAGTGGACGCAGTTCTCTTCTTTCTCTTTTCTCCTCTCTTTCTCTCCCAGAGATTGATGAAATTACTAAGCAGTGGGGTTGGTCCTCTACTTGCAGCTTGGTCTCCATCCACAACTCACTAACATTCTGTTTTGCATCAGCTAAACTGAGCTGAATGAATCATTTATGGAAGTGTTATGGGGGAGTATAGGGCAGATTTACTGCCGAGCTTTTACTTTAGATGGAATGGGATTTCTATGAAACCGATCTTGATGTCTGAAGTAATGCCAAAGCTTACATCAAGACATGAAAGGAACGCTCTTAAAACCCACGTTTTGCTTCTTAATTCCCCTGGTCAGCAAAAGGCGAAACAGTGAGAGAGGGGGGTTCAGCAGGAGAATAGTATTTACACCTAATGGTACACACACACACTGTTTACTGCTCCCAGCAGCTAATGCTATAAAAGAGTGTTGAAGTTCTTCTTAATAATTTGATGGCTTGTAAATTACGGTGCTTTAATTCAGGTTTGAGCTGCATTTTCCATATTGAAATAGCAGCACAGTTTGAATGGTTTGGGCTGAATACCGCACAACTGAATTAAACAACTGTCCAAAACTCACACCAGCATGCTATGAACAGAAATCTCTGCTTAAAAGACAACAAAAAAGTATGTAATTCTCTCTAGTGTTGGATTTTTCTCCACATCTGCAAAACAAATGTACCCAACACAAGCTTAATTTCCTTGTGGAGAAAATAGTTTGGGCAGTTTTTCATAATTTAATAATGGAATACACATTTTTTTTGTGAATCTGGATTTGTTTTATGTGTTTGTTTTTTCAGGGAAAAAAAGAAGATTTCTTATGTTTTGATATAAAACGCAAACATCAATTTAATCTAATTGGTGACCAAAATACCCTCAAACTCTGACCGAATCCAAAAACCATATAAAAATCTGCGGTTTCTGTTTTGCGTAGACTGAGTGTATCTCCTCAGTCAAAAAGCACTTTTGGATTTTAAAACACCCTGTCAATAAAATCCTGTTGAGGTTCAGCCTACTGATACGTCAAATATCCTATCGGAGAATCCAGGTTCCTTTCAAAACATGATCGATCCCAGTGTGATAGCGCCATTAAGTATTTGGGGATCAATCCTGAATGACTCGTAATGGAATTTTTGACTGGAGCCTTGAGGCCCTCGGGCATTTTTGGACCTTTATTACAGTCAAATAAGAGACTTTAAATGGCTTTGCATTTGCAGGCCAGACTGGACTCTGGAGTCTCATCCCTCATTGCTTTCTATCCATCCCTGAGATAGAAGCAGTGCTCCATTAGTTTCAGTGTCCAGACGTGGACAGCCTCAATGGATGGGCCTGTCACGGCTCCCTCATTTGCCCCATGTACAGCAGGGTTTGTTATCACACATCTAATTAGAACTTGATAAAAAATATTTCACAAAAATCCAGTCATTAAATATAGTTTAAGGAGATTTATGGTCAAATATGCCTTAAAGATCTTTTAATGGCTCTGCTGACTTGTTAAGTTTGTAATTAATGATCTTCTAATACATACTGTGGTGTGATTTAGAAAGCACAATGAGATTCTGGGAATGAAGTCGTTTTGGAAAAGGGCATCTGGGGCTTCCAGAAGCTATATTAAATAGTTCTGCTCAGACTGGTTAGCTTAGAGCCATGAAGTCTGCTGTGAAAAAGTTCAAACACATCAGGGTCTTGCCATAGAGGAGGCCATTTTTATGTTAGGGTGCGTGATTATGAAACAGTTGCTTTGTCATTTCATAATAGTCAATTAGTGTGTACAGAAAAGTCCTGGGCTCCTCTGTAACGGTGCATTTTTAAAGTGCATAATACAACAGCTTTATTTAAGTAATGGAAAATACTTATTTTCAAAGTCCACTAATCCACACATAGTAAAAGTAATAAGCAAATGCATAT